CCCCCGCCGGCGTCTACGCCGCCCCCGGGGGGAGGGAGACGACACGTGCGGAGGGTCAGGAGAGATGATCGAGTTCTGTTGGGATCCAAGCCGCTCGCCGGACGGTGGCATCGGATCAAACCTATTTTTGTACGTTTTTATACTCGCTTTTGTTAGACTTTATCAATAAATGATTAAATTCTCCTTAGAAGTCATTCCCCCCAGCCACAGGGCGAGTTAATAGCTACAAATAGGTTATAGGTCAATTTACTTCTGGCTGTCGATAATCACAAGCACAAACATTTTATGATTATTGATATCATGATTATCAATGTTTACGAATGTTAACCATAATATCGTTTGTCATGATAATTTCATAAGAATGAAAATTATCATCATCATTATCATCATTTTCATTATCATTATTATTACTCTCATCATCATTATCATTATTGTTATTATCACTATTATCGTTACCGTTATAATAATCTTTATTATTGGAAGTAGTAATACTGCTATCAGTATTATTATTATAATTAGTATTATCATAATTGTCCATATCATCATTATCATAATTATTATCACTATTATCATGATTATTATCATTATCATTATTATCATTTCGTATTGTATTTTATGATTATCATTTTTTATAATCATTATTGCGAGAGAGAGAGAGAGAGAGAGAGAGAGAGAGAGAGAGAGAGAGAGAGAGAGAGAGAGAGAGAGAGAGAGAGAGAGAGAGAGAGAGAGAGTGAGAGAGAAGAGAGAGAGAGAGAGAGAGAGAGAGAGAGAGAGAGAGAGAGAGAGAGAGAGAGAGAGAGATAGAGAAAGGCAGAGACATAGACAAAGAGAGAAAGACATAGAAAGACAAACAAGAAGACAGAGAGAGAAGTGTAGATAGATAGATTGAGAGAGAGAAAATTCGTTATTCACTAATATCAACAATAATAATAATAATAGTAATAGTAATGATCATAAGAAAAATGATGATTACAGTAATATGATAACAAGACTGATTATGATGATAATGATGATAATAAAAAATGATAACAATAGCAATACTAATGATAATAATCATGATAATGACAATTATGATACTAATAATAACAATAATAGTAATAATAATGATAATGATAACAATAAAAATGAAAGTAATAATAACTATAATAATGACAACAGCAGGAACATCAATAATGATGATAATGAAAATGATTCGTATTAACTACACACTGCACTAAACCCGCATCATACGGCCTGTTGTTGACATTATGCGTAGCCGGACCCAATGAACATTCACATATACGAACATCCACATCCATCCATCTGTCTGTCCAATAGATAAGCATGTCTCGACTGATAGCTATGCATTTATTTCTGTGTATATGCATATCTGTATGGTGGATATTCATTAGGTGGTGAAGTGGCTTAGGGACATTTTTAAGATTGATTTCTCATTATTACTTTCATTACCGTTGCGAGATAGATATAGAAGAGACGCTGAAAGAAGGACGAGAGAAGGAAAATGACATACAAGAAAGAAGGATAGACTAAACAGTACACGGATAAGCGAATGTGTTAGTGAAGAACATCAATGTTAGTGGTTAAAAATAACAGGTATGAATCGAGAGACAGAAATGGATACTTAAGAACAAGCATTAAAGAATATATTGAATCACATATTGACCACTGAAGAAAAAACATTAAAGAGCATATTGAATTATACATTGGCCAGTTAAGAAAAAAAAACATTAAAAAACATATTGAATCATATATTGGCCAGTTAAGAACAAGCATTAAAGAACATACTGAATCACATATTGACCACTGACGAAAACGCATTAAAGAACATATTAAATCACATATTGGCCAGTTATGAACAAGCACTGAGGAACAATGAATCACATATTGACTAATTAAGAACAAGCATTAAAGAACATAATGAATCACGTATTGGCCAGTTAAGAACAGGCATTAAAGAACGTATTGAATCACATACTGACCACTGAAAAAAAGGATTGGAACAAAGGGACGGTAAAAAAGAGAAGTTGAAAGAAACATAACCTCAGTCTCTGGAAAATCACACGAGCACGAAATAGTCAGTTGAACAGGCAAGGGAGAGAATGAAGAATCCTGTGGGATCTTTTCCTCATCCGAACTGACCACGGAGTGAGAGCAAGAAGAAAGCTAGATATGTTTATGAGACGGAAATGTGATGTTACATGAAATGATCTATTTTGATGTTGTTCGAGATGGAACAGAAAGAAAAGGACGTGAGATAAACGATATGAAGGGATGGACAGATAAAAAAAGTAGAAATCACAAAAAAAAAAGAAATAAACAAAACAATTCTAATATTAAAAGATATACACATGAATGCACCTATATCACTTTATCTTATTAGAAGGAGCAAGGAGTCCCTAGTGAATCCTTTCCCTCGCGTCCGTCTGCGAAAGGGCGGCCGGCCGCTGCTATATAGAGCAGCGCCCAATTGGCCCCAGACAGTCGCCTTTCCGCCGCC